CTTGGGAGGTGCTTGAGAGGTACATTTTTAGAGTGTTAAGAGTTAATTCAGTGACCACTTTCAACTCAGTTCATTCGTCGTTCCATGCAGTAGTCTCAGAGACACTCGAATTTACTCCAATTTAAATGATCGTCTCCTGGAATGAATTAATTTTTATAATAGATACGTTGAACGTAGTGAGACAGAAACAGTAGAGCGGGACTGTTTGGACGTGTGTAAATATCAGTGAAAGAACGTGTTTGCCGTTAACCAAAGAGCGTGGTGTCGCACGCTGTGTAGAAGCGAACAATGATCTTCACGTTGGAGACGAGTGGCGATGGGAAGAATAAAATTGTAGCTAAAGGGTATTCTGGTGATTCAGGCTTCTAGCGGGAACAAATTGTTTCTTCTAATACGTTCTCACGTGTGAACCTCGAAGAATGCGAGATGATAGAAGCATAATAAGAGAATGAATAAACGAGACCGAGGCTCAATATGGAGAGAATGGACGATAATATTAGAAGCGGATCATTAGAATTATTTTTTAAATCGTAAGCTACGTTTATTTAATAACGCCTAACGAAATCTAGTCTTATTTATACTCTTTGTTAAATCAAAAATCATGTTTTTTATTATTATACATATACAGTGATTTATTTATGTATGTATATAATCGTGCATAGTTCATGTTGGTGCGTGGCAATGAGACGTTCGTCGGACACGAAGGAACGTTCGAAGGGTGTGAATAAAGACGACCGTACCTGAGACTCGTCGCGTATTCCGTCGGCTCCGATCGAAAATTTGTTTAGTGTAAATAATCGCCGACGAATCTCCCATGTTCGAGGGTGTAACAGCAACAGCCACGTTCGGATATGATAAGGAATGAAATGGTGCAACGGGAACCGTCCTATGTATGCTCTTATCGTTACATATTACATATCCTGTACAGCGACACGTGAAACTATTTTGTACGCATTGCCCGACATTGTAAATCAGAATAATTCTTATAGTCTGTAATAATAAAACGCGTAATTGTTACTTACCTATTTTCGTGTTTCGTGTATGAAACTCGTGGCCTCCTATACGATCGTTCAGAATTGTATGCAAACATTTCTGCGAATGACCAAGTCTTTATATTATATAAAAAGAGATGATCCATTCAGACTCCCATATTCCTGAATTTAAAATCTCCATCTTTAGTAAAGAAATTTTGTGCCAATCAACCCCTAACGGGATGAGAAAATTAATGTGATCTTCTGCATATCTTTGAAGTTCCATAAGTTAGGGTGTTGGTTTTATTTTACAATCAATGCCAAAAAATCAATTACTCTAATCATCTTCT